GACAAGACGTTCTGTCTCAATGCATGTATTTTGACAGAACCCTTTATACTTGGTGGAACACAGGATCTGTTGCTTTGCATGGTTTGAAGAATCTTATCACATTTATCTGGATAATTTGCAGATTTTTCTTGAACGTTTCCATTAAGTGGGATTTTTGAGACGTGAGGAACCTTGGTATTGTTTCTGTTTGCGAAATTGGGCCATTAATTGTACTTGCATGCAAATAGCTTTTATACTATACTGAATGAACAATATAATGAGCATTTCATGGACCCCATCGCGTTCGTTACGACGGTGTTGTACTGAAAGAATTCTTCTTCAAAATATACCCCAATTTCCGTTAATTAACAATTTGACAATGTATCAGCTTGATTTAATTATTTATTTGTTTTGCATTCAAAGCCAATGTTTCTAAACATTAGTTCTGAAAGGAGGCTAAGTACACTGAAAGCTCCTTGAATTCCCATGATTTAATCATGAAAACGGCTTTAATAATATTGGCTATTAACTCATCGTTCTGCATGACTATTATTTTGAATGTTTTTTAATGTTTGAGACATGTCAGGCATGATCTTGCTGGGATTTGAAATTGTAATCCATAAAATGCAAAGTTTCGGTTGTTAATACCCTAAACAAAGCAACGCTTGATTAAATCTGCACATTATTTTCATTGTTCGTGCATTTGCAGAGTGCACACAAAATAGTCACATGTACATGTACAAGAGAATTCAAAACTTGACCAATGTTGAACAATGTTGAGCTCCGTAGAAATACTGAAACTCCTTTGAGGAAAATGTTCTTTCTTCAGAGCGTGCCTCATTTAGCCAATATTTAGTTGGAAAGCTAGAATAGGGCCATATGAAACTGAGGGTTTAGTTACGTTTTTAAAATCAATTATCCCTCCTTCCCCTTAGGTGCATACTATTAGTTTTCATATTCTCTTGAATTGAAAGTTAAATCATTGTCAGAAAGAGAGAGAAAGAGAATATCTGACTCTGCCATTTCTATAAGATCTTCAGAAGCAGAATGATGTAACCATGGTTGCATTAAGCACGACGGTCTGCCAGCATGGTGTTTTCCTATTATGTAGGCCTACCCAATCGGTAAGCTGCTTCTCTTTGCTGATTTTGCACTGATGTTGTGTAAGTGCAAAAAAATTAACCTCTTTATAAACTCAATATAATTTCACTTTAATCCGTGCTAGTCTGATAATTGTGATAATTCCAACATCACTTCAAAAAATGTAAAATGTGCTAAGGAAATAAGTTTCTACCTATCGTACCCTGTGAATTTCATGTTGACTTTTCAGTACTGGAAAAATTGGTGTAAGTAAAAACATGGAAATATGGGTTATTGTGAAGTATTGGTTTTGTTTCAGCCGAGTTAAAATTAAGGTGTGGGCTCTTGGACTTTTTCAAAAAAGGTTTTGTTACTTAAAGCATGTCTCCTGAACCCAAATAACACCAACTTTTGTATTTTGAAAAGGTTATTCATGCTAAAAATGCAATTTTCTGACACTGGTCATATTTTAATCTACCCCTATTCTGGTACCAGATGCATTGATGTATAAAGCCGGGTATTGTGCAGTTACGCATTTTTGTCCTCAAAGTTTTAATCCCAAGGTTTACTGAAACACCCTGCAGTCTGTCCACAATGTTGCTAAGTGTTATAAATGTTGCAAAACAAAAAGCCTTAATACAAGGAGACTACAGCCAGGGCAAAGTGTGTTGTATCTCATAATCATGTCATCAGAACAAAACTAGAGGTGTGTTTGTCCTCTGGACAAACTAATTTTTTTTTTATAAATTATCACTTGATATCTTGACTCTTGGGTATATTTCAAATCAAATAACAGAGCACAAAATGTGTGATTTCTCTTTTGTTCTCATGGTAATCTTGAACCAAAATTGAGGACTAATCACTCATTAGTGTTTAGTTAAAAGTGTACAAAGCCTAAGGAGAAACTGCAGCTCATGTGACCCCAATGATGTCATTTTAACAATTTTGTCCTGGGAATAAGTCAGATTGACCAAAGTGCTGATGACTGGCTGGTGAAACACATGTACAAAACCCATGAGGGAAAAATAAATAGCCAAAAGTCAATAAAACATTAGGCAATGATGTCATCATGACATCATAAATTAAGGAAAATTCTTTTACATGTATCAGGGTCTTTGTTGGTTGTAACTTTGATGACTATGATCAAAGATGTCAAATTTACCAAAATGGTAGCATGAAAACGTGTACGAAGTCAATGGGCTGAAATAAATATTGAAAAATTAATAATAAATCAGATGATGATGTTATCCTGACGTCATCCAATTAGAATAATTCTTGTGTCAGGATCTTTGTTGGCTATCACTTTGATAATGATCAAGTTACCGAAGTTACCAAAATGGTGGCTTGAAAAGTGAAAACATGTACAAAGTCAATGGGCTAAAAATACATACATGTATGCAGAAAAACCGCTCTTTTAAGTTCATGTCACGTGACTTGCACTGAAAAACTGAAAAATCTCTATGAAAAATTACTTGATATTTTGACTTTTGTGTATATTTAAAAGCAAATAATAGAGCATAAAACATACAATTTCTCTTTTGTTCTCATTTTTAAGCTTGAGCCGAAGTTGAAGACTACTCACTCATTAAGATTGACAGTAGAAAAACGTGTATGAACAATATGGCCAAAAATATTAAAAATTCAAAATAAATCACGTGACGAGGTTCATCATGACGAATTTGTTCTAGGACCATCATTAGATGATTGTCCAATGGTCTGCGAAGTCTGAAATCAATCAGATGTACAAAACTACCAAAGTCTAGGGTGACAAGAAAATGTGTACAAACCATATGGAGAAAGTCTGAAAAAGGGAAAAAACTAGAGGTTTTGTCTGTCTTAAGGACAGAGCAAAGGCCTTTATCGCATTTTCATTTTTTTCCTAAGAAAAGGGCATTCCTTTATTGCAGAAAGAGCACAGATTAGAGGTTTTATAAATTTACCTCTTTTAACATTCCATAAAATGCGATCTGCTCTCAGTGCCACATGCTTGGAAATTTGCCAACTCTTGAGTACAATGCCCTACACAGTGTGCACTGTCTATACATGTTACAGGCAGATAATGTGCGTCCACACACCCAGTAGCCAATAAACAGTATGCGAATGGGATTTTGGAGTACACAAATACTGTAAGGGTTATATTTGTTATCGGCACTTCATCTGTGTGAAGAAGTACACCAGATATGCACTTCATGCAGTTGACTCCAATGTTTTAGCTATCATCTAATGGATAATTCATCCTTACATCTCTTATGGTTGATTTTATACCAATTTAAAAATAAAAGGACTTTTTACTATAACTTCTGGTCTGATGACGTCATTGGCCCCATTTTTCACATGGGTTAACTGGGTCAAGATCATCATCAACCTCAGTTTTCAGGCGATTCGAACAGACTATTCAAAATTCATTTTTCGGAAGTTTCAATGGGCTGAAAGAAATATTAAAAAATCATTAATAAATCACTTGAGTAGAGGGCACTTGACAATTGCGTGACATCTTCAGTAGATGTTTTGAAAAATACAATACCCCAAGAGACTAACATTGAAATCAAGTCAATATCTACCAATTTTAAACAATCCTACTTCTGGTTTCGACTGGAAGGGTGGGTCACGTGATTTGACTCACACGAGACTGAAGACCAAATAATACTCTGGCACTTGACACAAACAGAATGTTGCGGGAGGCCATGATTCATTTTACATGGATTTTTAAAAATTAAACAAAAAATTTAATATTTAAAATTTAATGATAAATCCCTTTAATTTGTGTTTCAGAAATCTCTGGGCACATCTTTGTTATAGGGTCTTTGCTTGAGACAACTTTAAGCATGATCTGAAATTGTGTAGGGACTAAAGTGCCCTGGAGAAAAACTCTGTACAAAAGAAATGTGATTTTCGGAGAAGAACAAGGAGGAGATGAAACAAATCTTGACAAAAAGAATGGCTTTTTTGTATTTTGCGAAAAAGACAAAACAAAAACAGAACAGAAAAAATGACTTTTCACAAAAAGTGGAAAATCCAAAAAATGAACAAAAAGAATGCCTTTTTGCAAATTTGCAAAAAAGCCCCCCATAAAAAGAACAAAAAGAATGTTTTTTGGTAAAGTTGTGAAAAGCCAAAAACAGAAAAACAAACAATGCTTTTTTCGCAAAGTTGAAAAAAGCCCCCCCCAAAAAAAAGCTATAAGAAAAGCAATAAGCTGCTTTGCATGCCAGCACAAAAACAATGCCTTTTCCTCACTTTGCAGAAAAGCCAATATGCAAGCAAGGAAATCTTTCCAATCTTCAGCCCTGTCTGCACTTGACTTTTTGGTCAAACTCACAGAGACAATGATTACTTTTCTTATTTTAAGTCCAGTGTGGACATCCCAGGAAGTTCTCCTCTTGGTTACTTGCACTGAATCACACGATCATTTTTACTGGATAATTTCTGCCCAGGAAATATGTCTGAGTTTCATTTCCCAAGACGAAAAATCCAGTGCAGACTGTGAGAGTCGGTAAAAGCATCGAAAGCAGCTGTGTTAGTGCGTACATCCAGCCTGAACTTGCATGTTTTGCCACGGTGTGGCATGTGGTGAATATTTCCAGTACATTTGTTCGTCTTTTGGTCATTGCAGAAATGATTATTGATACAATTCGAAGATTAACTGGTGTTAAGAGTGCACCATTTCTAGATGATAATGAGGACAGTACAGGACGAAAACAAGGATGAAAACAAATGCAGTAAGGTAATGCGAAGTGCCCTCATGACTCATTGTGTTGATAGCTTGGTTACTTCTCCCACAGTCTCGGTAAAATTTTCCCGTCGAAAGTCCAAGTGTGGACAGTGCGTGGTTACATTTGACCATTTGTCCTTTTACCACTGGCTTGGTAAAACTGTTGGAAATAAGGTAAGGTGTGAACACAGCTTTTGCCAAATACTGTATACAAAACTGAGAGACTTACCAGCACCAAAAGCAAAGAAGAAACTCTTCTCAGGATACAAATCCAGTATCTCCTTGACTCGGGCAGCCATGCGCCGATTCCTCTTATATATCAATTCTTCTCGAAAATACTCGTCAATTTCCTGGGCCAAGCTAATTTCATATGGCCCCAGTGTAGAGTTGAGTAGGTTTGGCACCTGGGCTGTGTCATGGTTGAAAATGACGGAGTTCAGGTTGCCACAGTTGTAGTGCCAAATAAGGTCCTCTGTTGTGTAATGTCGACGTGCTGTACCAGCGGCCGCACGCATGATCTCTTGCTGCCACAATGTTTGGTTGAGAGCAAAAAGGACCTACGGTATCAGAAAAAGAAAAATTTTGAAAGATCAGAAAAATGCTGTTTTACTATTTTGCCATTTTTTTTTCTTTTTTGGTGTCAAAGCAGTTTTTTCCCAACCCCTCACCCCCCATCCGTAACTGTATGCACACAGTAATGAAACAGTGAGAGTGTAATCCTTCTTGTTTACTTATATAGCTACTTATTGAAGACAGCAAGAACACAATTACTTTAAATGTCATTAAGTTCTGATGTGAAAAATTGAAGAAATATAGTCATTTAAAAATTTTGCTTTTTAAAATTACCTTTTTTTTCTCTTTTGTTTTGCACCAATACCATTGTAAACAATGTATGGCAAACATTTTTGTCATCATTCCCACTTGTCTGCAACAAAGGAGACATTAAAAAACCTGGATCTGCCCCTAGCATAGTATATGTTTTTAGGAACAAATTTATTGATACATGTACATGTACATAAACTGCACATACATGTATGTACATGGACTCATGCACACAAACACAATGTAAACGGTTGTATGGAAATGCCTCACAGCAAATTGTGTGCAGAAAATTTTACCCCATTTCTGTAGTGGAAGATGCTTTTCCACCAGGTTTTAAATTAAATTTGGTCTTGAAAATTAGAGAAAAGGACCTTTGTATTGAAGAGCATAATTGAGGAATATCAGAACAATGTTCCAGCATTCATTCAATGAAAGAGATGTTTTTACCACAGAAATTTGATATTTGGGGGCATAAATTATGAAAAAGTAGTTAAAGGCATACTAAGATCTGATGCAAACGTTACAAAAGTACTGTAAAAGGTATGAAATGTCTTGTAAAAGAAAAGCATTTACAAGAAAAAATTACAGCAGATGAGGGTGAAAAACTGGTTTGTCACGAATCACTCTGCTGTATAAATTGTCATATGTGTGGGTCTCCAATTTATATAGAGTAAACATGAAAACATACTAACAAGGAACTGCTCGGTACACTGCGATGATGGAAACAGATCACAATACATTATGCAATGATGAAAACATTCACAATTCCACATTAAATATTTTCTCAATTTGTTTAACTGTTCTGTGTTAGTTTTCAACTTGATGTGAACCCACTCTGTTCCTTTTAATAAAACCCAATGAAACTTACGTAAACAACAAAAGAAAAAACTGTGAGGAAAGTTCTTTTTAAAAATACTATGACTGTTTGGGAGAACACATCTTTCCTGAAACAGTAGAAAGATTTAGGAAAATTCATATATTTTCTAGCGAATGGAATTCAGCATTTTTTGTTTACTACTACACAGACACAGATCATTACATACTACACACATTATCTTCTTAGCCACTCTTTCCCAAGGCCAAAGGAACAGCACATGTAACTTTCAAAACCACAAAACTGCCCTACATATCCAACAAAATAAACTATTTGGGACAGGCTAGAATTGCTCTCTATGTACAGAATTTGAGAGATTAAGTGGCATAGCCTCAGGGTGAACCAATTCAGGAAAAGAAATAACAACCTGGGAGATTTATATAACAGTTGTCCATGAAAGAACTCAATCACAGAAGATGGAGGGCAAATGCGGTTTCCTGGCCAGAGTGTGATAAACTGTATTTGAGAGTTCTAGGTCTCAGAAGCTTCCTGGTGAGCATGCCCACCTGGGAGAGGTCAGCTAGGGTCATGCAGATTAACTGGTTTGCCCCCTTGATTGGGATGTTTTCTGGACAATTCTGCTGTGGGGGTGTAAAGACTTATATGCTGTGGGGTGATCAGAGCCAGCGTTGCTTTTTGATGAACGGTTAGTAATTAATAAATTACCTTCAAGGAAGCAACATGGTTTGGAGCAATATGTAGATTTAATAAATGTTCAAAGAGTCAAAGCTTTAAATACAAATGCTTTACATGACTTCATAAACTTCTTCAAATGAAACGACTATTGAGTGAGATGTTGCATTACAAAATCTGCAATTGTTGAGATCAAAGTTTCAATTCGCATCTCTTTTAAAGGCATAGAAGATGGTCATTCCCTTTTCACCTAGAACATGATATTGAGAGCAACAGTACCTTCAAACAAGCACCACTGGGTGAAATGTTATTTTGCAGTGCTGTAGAACTCATGTCCAAACTTGGACTCCAGTCCAATCTGTAACAGATTTGGGCTATATTTTTCTCAGATGCTACTGGCCTAAAGATTCAAGGACTTGGCCCGAGTCTGGCACAAATCCATCCAATATCAACTGTGGTTATATATCCTCTGCACCCTTCCAGCGTAAATTCAGGAAATAGACATATGACTTAGATAATACCTCCTGAATTCTGTCAAATAATTTTTATGGCAAGAAATGTGACCTGCTTAAGTAGGTTGCACATTTTATCTTTTCATGTAGCCAGATGATTCCAAGAGCTAAGGGTAGACCATTGGGGAAGGAACTTCGGAGGTCACACCTCCTTGCATTTTTTTTGCAATGAAAAGTTTTTTTCGTTATATTTCATCTCTCTTTCAAAAGCTAGTAAAAAGCCTAAAATTGTAACCTCACCCCTTTTCGAGTTTCGAAATACAGTATTTTGGTGTCCCCCAAAAGAAACAAGTTTGGACTCCTGAAATGGATTTACCCTTGCCATTAGGAATGTAATTCTAATTCTAATTAATGCTAAACTTTATGGCAAATATTAGAACTGTGCATGGACTGTTGAAAAAAAAGATGTCAGAGTAGTGCTAACGGAGGACTTGACTGATTGTTCAAGAACACATTGTACTTATCATGTCATGCTGCAGTACCCAGACAACCGGTGCCAGTGAGAAATCCTTGTGCAAGGTGAACCTGCATAGTTTTGCTTCCCTCCTCCAACCAAACAGTGGCCTATCAGGGATCTGGATCATGCATTTAGCATCTATGCACCTGCCCTAAGGAAAAGACTTCAAGTTTTATTTAGGAAGTCTTAATGAATAATTTTAGAACTCTAGCTTGAAACATATTGTAAGCATCATTTTCCCTTGTCAACCGGTCCACACGTTTTTTTCAATATACATTGTAGGTTTGATGCCTTATGAACCATTTCGAGATTATGTCAAGACAATGTCAGGAACAACTAGAGGTTTTGTCGGTCTAAAGGACGGAGTAAACGGCTTTTTGGCATTGTCTTTTTTTATTAAGAAAAAAAATTGTTTGAGATACTAGCACATTTCCATTTCTCACTTCTTCTGAAAGATCTACCCTGGAGCTACAAATATTGACAAAAAGTAATTCTAGTATTTTCTTTGGTGATGTCACAATGATGAAATACGCACACCCTTTCGGACATTAGAAGATACAAAGAAGAAAGTGTGCACCTATAATATCACTTCACTTTGTCTGTGCCATTTCTTGCAATCTACCAAATTTGCATGCATATCACAAGATATAGGGCTCTAAAGAATGTACTTTTAATGTCACATGATTTCTCACTGGATGATGTCATCCTCACATGAGGTCAATATTTGCCTAAGTCTCTTCCCTTTCAAGATGTAAGGTTTGAACACAATACGACATACAATTATGGAGATATAGTGCTTTGTACATTACATCTTTGATATCAGGTGACTTACATGTACGTGTACTACCTGATGGCATCGTCATCACATCAGGTCAATATCTGTCTTAATCACTTCCCTTTCAAGATCTCAGCAATGTTTGAACCCATCAGACATGCAGTCAGTCCTTCCAAGAGTGCACCTTTAATGTCACATGACTTTTAACGGCGATGTCATCACTTAAGGTCAATATTCATCTAAAGCCTTCCCCTTTCAAGATATCTGCAAGGTTTGAACCCACTGGGACATGTACAGTACATGTATATCACAAGATAAGGTGCTTTAAAGTGTGCACCTTAAACGTTATATGACTTGTCCCACGACGACGTCATCATCACATTAAGTCACTGTTTGGCTAAAGCATTCCCCTGTCAAGATATCTACAAGATCTGAATTTAGTCAGACATGTACTTTAGGAGATATAGTACTTTGAAGAGTGTACCTTTAATGTCATGTGACTTGTCAAATGATGACCTCTTCATTAAGGTTAATGTTCATCTAAAGCCCTCCCCTTTCAAAATATCTGCAAAGTTTGAACCCAACGAGTTACGTGTCACAAGATACAGTGCTTTAAAGAGTGCACCTTTCATGTCATGCGACTTGTCACATGATGAAGTCATCATCACATCAGTCAGTTTCTGTCTGAAGCACTCCCTTTTCAAGATATCTGCAAGGTTTGAACCCAATTGGACATGTACTTCACGAGATATAGTGTTTGAAGAGTGCACCTTTATTGTCAGGTTATTTTTTACCTCTTGATGTCACTACTATGGAAGTCAGGTCAATGATCATCTAGAACACAACCCTCCCTAGCAACCTGCAAGGTTTCAACCAAATGGATACAAGAAGACATTGTGTTCATCAAGAAAAAGAGCACGAAAGAAGTTTTATCTGATTTAAACTATTTTGTGCTTTAGGCATTCCATACAAATCAGTGCTACATGTTGTATTGACATTTGGTCATTTGGCATTCCATACAAAGTAATCTGACTTCAGCGCCACGTGCTTGTTTTACTGCATGCCCAGAGCATGCCTTGCAATGTGCAATGTCTTTATTACAGGCAGATGTAACGTGTTCACCTACCTACATGTAGAAGCCAATACACAGTGTATACATGTATGTTCGAATGGAATTCTCGAGTGCCCAAATATCGTAAGGTGTGTTTTTGTCATCGGCGTTTCATCTGTGGGATACAAGTTGACCGGTTACGCACTTGATGCAGCTGACCCCAATGTTTTAGCTATCATTTATTGGACAATTCACGCCTATATTTGTTACGGTTGATTTTTTACCAAATTCTGAAGAATAAAAGGACTCTTTATTATGACTTCCAGTACGATGAGGTCATCCGCACCAAATTTCACACTTGTTAATTGGGTAAAAATCATCATCCACATCAATTTTCAGGCGATTCCGACAAACTTCGCCACAGACATCTAAT